CAGGTAGGAATTTGGGAGTGACTTGGCTGGGTGGTTCTGGTTCTGGGTCCCTCACAAAAGGTGTCAACTGAGGTTGCTGTCATCTGAAGGCTTGACTGGGGCTGGAGGATCTGCTTCCAAAATGATGCAGTTACATAGGTGTGGACAGATCTCAGTTTATGTGGACCTATCAATAGGGTCACTTGAGTGTCCTCAAGACATGGCAGCTGACTTCCTCCAGAGCAAGTGATCCCAAAGAGGAAGCTTCAGTGTCCTTTCCCATCTAGTCTTGGAAATTACACTGTCCCTGTAGTCTCATTCCACTTGCTAGAAGCCAGTCAGTAAGTATGGCTCACACCCAAGGGGAAGTAGATTAGTCTCTGTCTCTTAAAGAAAAGCATACCAAGAATTGAAGGGTATATTTTAAAACCACCACACCAGGTGTTCTCTTGGGCTCCCCACTGATTGAGAATGTGGTCTTCCCTCCAGGACTCCTCTGGGCATCCACATTTACTCCTGCAACTTGACTTTTTCTCCTGGAATTCTCCCTTCAGCTTTCTCCTAAATTTTCCAGTCTATTGAAAAGTCACAGAAGGTTGAGAACAGAAAAGGGAACTTGAAATGATCCCAGGATCTCAGGATCTGGATAGAGTCATCTGCCTTGTTTGTTTCTGCTGCAGGACTAAAATTTGACATCTCTGATTCTTCTCAAGTGAGGGTTGCTGCAATCTTTTTAGCAGCTTCTCCACGAAACTGTCACAAATCTAATAATGAAATCATGCTCAGTACCCACTGAATTTAACCACATGACCTTCTCAAAGCTAACTTCACTCAATTCTCCACGAATCTTTTTACTATACATTTAAATTGTGTGTCATTCAGCTTTCTAATTCTGTGGGTCCTCTTCATTATTTACCCTCTGCCTTCAGATTTCACCTCTCAATTCCACTGGTGGACTTACATCCCCTTGTTCATAGAGCAAACTCAATATAAACCAGCTTCAGCATTTCCCTCTAGAGTGACTTCCCTCTTGTCCTTCTTTATTCTCTGAGTGACAAACCCTGAGAAAATTACCATCCTGGGCTTCTCCATTGCCTGTATTTCCTGTGATGGGATTGTTGCCTCTGTGTTGTAGCAAAAACAACTTACCTGCCATGTAGCTTGGGACAATTCTCAGCCACTACTATCAGGGATATTAAAAAACTCCAATTCAACGGTTCTTAATTTAGCTTTGAGATTCTTCAGTTGCTGGTTCCATTCTGAACTTGAGATTCCAATCTCCCATCTGTTCCTAGTACCTGTCTGGACTTTTTTTTTTTTTTTTTTTTTTGAAGGGGGTGTGTGGTCCTGGGGATTGACCACTGAGCTGTATCTCCAGCCCGTTTCATTTTGAGACAGGGTCTTGCTTACTTGCCCAGTCTGGCCTTGAACTTGTGATCCTCTTGCCTCAGCCTCCTGAGTAGTTAGGATTATATAGGTGTATACCATCACACTCAGCCAAAATTCTGTATTTGTAACAGGCTCTCAGGTCATGTCCATGCTGCTGACTCACAGACCACATTTTGGGTAGCAAGAGCCCATAACATCAAACTCTTCAATATGTTTTCTTATTTACCATCTTTCTCAGCAGGAAGGCCAGAACAAGTGCTGTCATGTTGTCAGAATCATTGAATCACACACTGCCTACATCACTGGTCCCCAGTATAACACAGTGCTGGAATCCCCTGGAGACCTAATGAAAAATATTGATTTGGGGGTTCTATCCCTGGAGATTCCAACTCAGTAGATCTGGGCTAGGATCCCAGAGTTTATATTTTTATAAAGCACCTCAATCAATCTTAATGAATATTTTTTTTAAAAGAACTGTATCTTATAAGATAAACTTTAACCTTAAATGCAGTCTTACCCAACAGATCTAAGATCTTTTATTTCTCATTTTCATTCCCTTCCAAACCTTTGTTACAGGGAGACTGTCTCTCAAGCAGATTCAGAGCATACCCTTTTCTTTCTTGTGGCTCTACTTTCAAATTCTACCCACTCTATAATTAATCATACCCAATTAATGCACATTTTTGCTTCACCAAGTTAGTGGGAAGAGACTTCGTTTCTACTCTCTTCCATCACATAAATCTACCCATCCTCCTCAACTTTATCAAGTCACTGCCCCATCCCCATATTAAGTCTCACAGAAAATCTACTTTTCTGGGAAAATGGAAAATGTGATTCTATTGGCTGAAATAAAAGTGTATCCGGTCCCCAACACGTAAGAAAAGATGCTGAGTCACCCTCCAATTCGATTCAGAAACCGGAATCCCTGAGGACAGGGACTCTTATTCTATTTGTTTCATGTCATTTTCACAAGTCACAGGCTTTCTCATAACTTGTCACTAAATACAAAGCTAAGCAAAGGTCAGAGTATGTTTGGTGTTCTGCAGGAAGGTGACACATAATGGTAGGGATGGAAAGAATCAGTATAGCTAATTAGTGGAAATGACATCGAAATTTTCTAATTAGCCTTTTAAAACATCCTTGATCTCAGAAAATATGAGGTGTCAAACTTCAATATACCCTTCACTCCTAAAATGCCATTAGAACATTCTATAGTGCCTTGGAACACAGGACCCTAACACCAGCTGTGAGGAATCAACATCCATCAGCATCTGCTTAACTTACATGGGAAGAAACACTAATTGCCCAATTGGATTTAAGAACTGAGGCTGACTCAACACACAGAGGTAGCTAAAGAAATAAAAAGAAACAGTTTCCAGAAAAAGTCTTTGTGAACCAAAACTCTATACCAAACTTCTTAATAAGAATGCAGGATCTGGACTGAGGTTGTGGCTCTGTGGTAGAGCACTCGCCTGGCACGTGTGAGGCCCTGGGTTCGATCCTCAGCACCACATAAAAATAAATAAAATAAAGGTATTGTGTCCAACTACAACTAAAAAACAAGCATTTAAAAAAAAATGCAGGATCCATCACCAACTCAATTGCCAAACATTGACTCAACCTTTGAGATCAATTATCACCTTTCCTGAAGAAAACATAGGTACTGCATTCTAGAAAGGGCATGGGGTTCATATCATCACATTATTTTTCTCAGCCTCCAATGCAGTGTCTGGCAACTGTAGATGTCAAAAAAAAATTTTTTTTTTCAAATGAATAAAGGAGTTGTTGATTCACTAGTATAAATGGAACCCCTTGCTTGTTAATCTGAGAGCAATTACTCTTCTGACCTTTTCCAAAATAAACTGTTTCCCCTCAATCTCAAAGTAATAATTGCAGTAATAATAATAACCAGCTAATATTAATTGGACACTTACTATGGACCAAATGCTATTCATTTTTTTTATATATACTGGAGCTTGAACTGAGAGGTGTTTTACCACTGATATACACCCCCAGTCCTTTAGTACTTTTAATTTTTTTATTATTATTTTTGAGACAGGGTCTTGCTAAGTTGCTGAGGCTGGCCTTGAACTTGTGATCCTCCTTCCTCAGCTTCTGAGTTGCTGGGATTAGAGACGTGTACCACTACACCCCGTACTATTCTATGTTAACAGGAATCATTTCATTTAGCTTCACAAATTATCCCCACCCTACAAATGAGAAACCTGAACCTTAAGATACTATCTTACCAAAGGTAGTAAACGAGAGACCCAGGATTGAAGCAGAGTCCACGTACTGTATCATTAAGTCATACAGCTGGCAACTGATTGACACCAATAGGCTAATGGTTATTGACTCATTGCTAATGATGGAGCTCCACTGAGAATCTTGTACCTCCAGCCATGTAGCATCAGTCTTCCTACTGCTGGCTAAAAGGAGTATTTCATATTTACAGAAGAAGCATAGCAGCCTTCTTACTGTTGTAACCTGCCACCAGAAATATTCATGACAATACTCTTGGAATCTTGTGGGCCCTGGCAGGGTAACAAGTACAAGTTTCTTTATTCCTAATGGGTCCTGGAAAATGAGACCTCCGTGGCTTTCTATCATGTACCTGGAAGAACTGGCTTCACATAAGTCTTGAAGATATGTTTATAAGTTGTTGGCTAAAGGCCTAAGTCTGATTCTGATAGTATTTCCTTAATGAAATCTTTCCTACCATTCTTTTAACTCTTACTTATTTCTTCCACTACCCATCCTCCCCCCCCCCAATTTCTTGGGAGAATCTGTAAATCTTTTATATAGTTCTTTATTTCCCACTCAGGGCTTAAGAGGGAGTTTGCTATAAAACATAGCAAGCATTCAATAAAAAAATGCAAATAGCTACATCAAAATGCCAATTCATATAATTTTTAGATAACATGAGGGGAAAAAAAACCCCACAATTTTCTGGAAAAGACTATTGATCTTTGAGAGTTAAGGATACAGCTGGCGCCCTGGTAGAGGGAACAGGAAGGGCTTGGCAAATCGCCAGAAAAGAGCATGTGTGCATTGTGCTTTTGGTCTTCCCAGATGTCTGTCTCTGGAGGTTCAAGGCATGAGTCCTGTGTGCGTTTCTCAGTAGCAGTCCCCTTTCCAAGAAGGCTGAGCGGGACAGCTCACGCCAGACGCCCCGTGCATCTCTGGGATTTGAATTCACAGACCTCCTTTTAGAGCAACCCTAACATGCCATTCTAATGTATCAGAAAAGTGGGGGGAAATGGGCTACGAATCCCATCTGAGTTCATGGAGATAGTGTGGGAAATATTTCCAACGTTTTTGCAAAGTGCCAGCAACGTTCATTAAGCACCTACCATAGGTTCTGCATGCTTAAAAGAGAAGCCAAAGGTTAAGCCACGTAGGAACTGCGGTTTGCTGGTTGGTTCTCATTTGGAGAGAGCGGGCGGCTGGGCAGTGATCGCAGTGTCCAGTAGGGGGCTGGCATTCTCTGTCTATACGTGGTCGGGTTCCTCTTCAGAGCCTCCGCTCAGGAGAGCTGCTGTTTGCTGGTGAAGCCGGTGACGTGCAAAGCATCCTGCCTATAGGATTTGAGACTTTCCCAGTGCAGTTTTTTTCTACCCACTTTAAACCTTCAGGTTCTAAATATCAGGAAAGACAGGAAATGCAGTGTGAAAACAGCAGGCCAAAAGTTCTTGGTTAACTGTAGCCGGGGAGTCTCAGACTAGGATGGAGATAGATAGAGCTGAGACAGAGTGGGCTTCATGCTAAGCCTTTCTTTGGACTGAGTTTTTGTTGTTAACTTGTTCAATTGAGGTGTACTGCACTGGTTACGAAAAGGCCAGAGCAGTTCCAGCATCAAAATAGTGACAGTTTTGAATACCATAGTATCTACACACTTAGGGTATTTTTATTAAAGAAGATAAAGAGGCCAGACTAGATCTCATCCTCATCTTCACCTAACTGCAACATCGAAAGTTAAGAAACAGCATCTTCAGGGCACTTTTAGGTGAGAAGAAGTCTAGAGATGGATCCAAACAATTGTTTACTTCTGAACTTGAAAGTGGACAATTTCACGAACTGCAATGCCTCCAATAACAGCGTGGATCTCCCTGTGAATGACGACTGGTTCCACCCGGGGATCCTCTATGTTATCCCCGCAATTTATGGGGTTATTATCCTGATAGGCCTCATTGGCAACATCACTCTGATCAAGATCTTCTGTACAGTCAAGTCCATGAGAAATGTGCCGAACCTGTTCATCTCCAGTCTGGCTTTGGGAGACCTGCTCCTCCTGGTAACGTGTGCTCCTGTTGATGCCAGCAGGTACCTGGCTGACAGATGGCTATTTGGCAGGATTGGCTGCAAGCTGATCCCCTTTATACAGCTAACCTCCGTCGGGGTGTCTGTCTTCACACTCACGGCACTGTCGGCAGACAGGTAAGCACTGGTTGAAAGTTGCTTGCTGTCCCAGGGTGGTAGATATTTCAGGAAACAACTCCCATGTCATGACAGACAGAGCTGTGTGCACAATAGGAAGTTTTATTCAAACTCAGATTCCCTGCCGGGTATGTTTTTGCTCTGGGAATTACTTCTTGAGTTTGACATGTAGGTTTAAGAAAGAAAAGTGAGTGAATAGAGAGACAGGAGACAAATGAGGGGGGGGGAATTTTGTGAGCATTAAGATTGAGGTGCATTTTCTGGAGACCAGTTATTACCTTTTCCTAATTTCTCCCTTCCTGCAGAATTAATTGGCCAGTGAGAAAGATGATCACGCCCCATAGTTTCAACCCCAGGTGAATGTTTTCTTAGTAGCAATTGAAAAACTTCAGAGAACAGAAAAATCTCAGGGTACTTTGTCAAAATATTCTTTCAGAAATAACGAAGAGGAGAAAATAAGGCTCATTTCTTTGAAATTTATTTTCCTCAGATAGTTTAACTTTTCTCACAGGTGATTTTGTATTTGGCTTTCTGTGACTGAAGAGTTGTGTGCTGCTTTTTCTAAGTCTCTTTTCAATGGAATTGAGCAGTATTGGTTTTCTTGTTTTGTTTTTTTTTTTCCTTCTGGATAAAGATTCATTCAAGGCTGACTCCTAATTTTAATTAGGAGTCAATAATATCCTTATTGATATGCACTCTCCTTGGGGTTTTTCAGGGGTGAAGGATGAAGAGGGAGTCCAGCATAGGGTTTTATTCTAGGAAATAGACATATTCATGGGTGGTATTGCTTGTGTGATCACACTGCATAAAAATTTACATTTCTTCCCTCTTGAAAACATTCATTTTCATTCTTGAACATTTATCAAATATCTATCTTGCCAAAACAAAAAATACTTGCTTGAATTCACAACTCAGGCAATACCTGCAGGTTTTTCACACAAATTGCTGAACATGTCTTATGTATTCCTGGCTTCTGAAAATCAGACACAGCATAAACTAAATGGTCAAACTCAGAAAAACTGATACAATGAATCAGACTATATAGTTTTATCTTAAAATCAACTTTATGCTATATGTTAAAGAAACCCTAGGACTTGAGAGTATCCCATAAAAGGTGTGGAAACTGCCTTTAAAAGTTTATACTCTGAAAAAAAAATGTCCCACATTTTAATACATGTGGCACTGGATTCTCATTTTGTAGAGGAACAAACAGTCCTCAGGTGAGCTAGCTTTGTTGAATAATGGACAAATAAAGATAGCGTTATCAGTGTTTGTAGACATGTGTTTATACTTAGCTGCCTGAAGTACGCTGCTCAGCACACAGGACATTTTCAAAGACTGAAAAAGTAATGGCCCAGTAATGAGGGCCTTGCGCCTACTCTCTCGCTTACCTTCACCTTATTCTTACCCTGCACAGTTGCATATCAGGTACTAATGGCCACAGACAGTTTCAGGGTAAATTCAGAGCCGGCAAACTTTGGAGCTGGCAGAAACTGTGTGGCTGGTTACCCATGGCCAGGAGCACTTCAGGATGAGGGTAATTTTCTTGATGGGAAAAAGAGATTTTGGTTTCTGGGTTGTTGAATACAGTGGTACAGATGGTGTTTACTGTCTTCCGGGGGAGGGAAACAGAGAGGAAAGTGGGGGCACAGAATGCAAAGATGCAGCTGCAGGGACCTCTTCCCCCGAGTTTCAAAGCTCACCATCAGCAGAACGAGAAAGCTCTTTCGGAAGCACATGCCAGCAGCTGCAGTGTGTCCTCAGTCAGTTTATAGTTACTGTGTGTCCTTTCCAAGCTCAGAAGTGACTGTGAGCTCCCATGCAACCAACTTTGTATGTTTTGCTGAACTTAAGAAAGCTGTTGGGTCACCTGGATCACAGGTAGTACATGTAACTGGCTTCAAGGAGAAGAATAATTATTGAATTTGTTAAAGAATAGAAGACTCTACTTGTCTATTTCAAAAAGCTATGGGATTCTTTTAGTACCAAGGATTGAACCTAAGCTGCTTAACCACTTAGCCATATCCTTAGCCCTTTTAATTTTTGATTTTGAGACAGGGTCTTACTAAGTTGCCGGAACTGGCCTTGAATTTGTGATCCTTCTGCCTCAGCCTTCTGAGTCTTGGGATTACATGCATGCACCACTGTGCCCCACAGGCTATGGGGTTCTTATTACAACCTTGTGAGGTTGACAGTGCAAATTCTGTATCTTTTCTTTTCCACAAGGTATAATCTATATACACAGTAAACTCAACAAGTTAACAGCTTGATACATTTTTACATGTCTATATAACTGCATAACCACTATCCAATTGAGATATAGAAGAGTTCAGGACTCCTAGAGTGTCTCTTAGGCCCTTCCTGGTTAACACCACTTATAAAGAGGCAATTCTGATTACAATCATTAGATTATTTATGCCAATTCTTTAATCTCATATAAATGGAATTGTGTAGTGACTATTCCTTTGTGTCTGGCTTCTTATGCTTATCATTATTTCTGTATTCATTCTTATTGGTGCATGTAACAGTGGCTTGTTCTCTTTAATTATGTGTAGGTTTCCATGGGATGAATATACCTCGATTTTTTTTCCCATTCTAATACTGATGGGTACAGGGTTGTTTCTGGTTTGGGACTATAATAACCTGGATATTCTTATGTATGCCTTTTGGGGAAAACAAGAGTATGTCTGGGTGTGTAATGCTGGATCCTAGAGACATGCATTTAGTAAACATTGTGAGTTTTCCAAAGTCGTAGTCTGTATTTGATAGATTGGTAAAGAGGTAAATCAGAAGATCCTTCACACCGGATGATCATGAGAATCATAGGGGTACTTTAAAACCCTATAAATTCCTAAATCAGGGTTTCTGAGGACCTGTAGTGATAAAAAAAACATCCATCCCTGCCCTCTATAGATTGGCAGGCAATGCCAGTTCTCCCCTTCCCCAGGTCAACTTGAGTCTTTGTTAGGATGAGAAGAACAGCATTTTTCTAGAAAAGCTTATGTCATTGTCCTTGTGTCAAAGGGAGACTTCAGAAATTGCAATTATCAGATTTGCATAACTGATTAATTGCAAGTTTGCAAGCCCCTTTAATATTTCCCCCTCCCCTATGTTTTCTGCCCTTACACACAGACACATGAGGACAGACACATGGCTTCACTGATTCATTTCAGAACACTTTCTTCTTTCCTAACTATAAGACGCTACTCCTCATCCCATGTGGTGTATGGGCTTGGATAAGCATCAACAGATCTGCATTTTAGACATTTTTCTGCCACTATTACCCAGATGAGGAAATTGGAACAAGTCACTTAACTCTCTGGCCTTAGTTGAATCAGCCATAAAATGATGGATTTGAATTAGATTATTTCTATGATCCCTTCTAGTTCCAAAATCTTATGATTTTATATCTGTCATTTTGCTTCCTTCAGAATTTGGCTCAAGCATTCTCCTTAAAGCCCTATGTTGGCTCATTCTATCCCAAATTTCCTCACCCTTTTCCTCACTTATTATCTGAGACACAAATCATCTTGTGACATTTTTTATCTTGCTGTTTTGAAGCATTTCACTTTATCTTTTAAAAAATTATCTCATATATTCATTGCTTTAAAATTTTAGGTAGATTATTAAAAATGTTGAGGGCAGAGATTTCTTATATAGTTCATTATAGAATTCAGTGTCATGGTCATGCAAGCCACGTGTGAAGTGGTTGGCAGCCACATGGACTAGTGGCCACTCTATTGGACAGCACAAATTCAGAACATCCCCATCAGAAAGTTCTACCGGACAGGGCAGAAGAGAGTTTACTCTGTGCCTTGAATTCCAAATCTCTTTCCCAGGATCTATGTTTGCTGCTGTGTCTCATAGAGCACAGGAGGAATTCCTCAACTATCGATGCCTCCCAGTAGCTCAGGCTCCTCTTGTCTCTTAAAGACCTTCTATTGAAGACTCTCATACAGGAAGAGGGAAGAAATCAAGGAGCCCAATACCATCTCCAACCACAGACTAGGGGAATTTGGGCATCCCATTGATGAGGTTTTGAGACTTACTGAAGAATACATGAGAAAGGGTCCACTTTCCAGGTCTTCTTTCTGATCTTTCCATTCTCTTTTGCTGACCCTCTTCCATCTATTATCCCCTTGTCCCAGAACTTGCCAGAATAGACACTGAGCTATCCAAACTCCTCTCACTATCTCCCACATGCACCTCCAGACTTCTCCCGTCTCTGACCTCTTTTTCCTCTCCCTGATGGGTTAGGTCCTACTCTTTCCATCTCCCCAAATCTTATCAATCTGTCAAGGCATGGTTCTCCTATTTTTCACTTTCATTGATTTTTTTCCTTTTCCCAAGATACTATTGCCTATATTGTTCATTAGTTATCAAATCTATCTTGCTTGGTACCACTATGTCCCTTTTACAGGTGTGTTTTCTACTTCCTTAATCATAAGGGAAGCTCCATGGAGTCTGTCTTCAGGGATACCCTGACTCACCCTACTTAAAATACAAGTGCCATTAGCTATGGCTTGATTGATGTTTGAGCAGTGACAAAATGGTAAAAATCCACCAGCTAGAAGTAGAAGTCATCTTAAAGTTCAAACCTTTGTTTGACACAGACATCAAAAGAGGTGGCAGGAATTTAACCTTCACAGCAAAATCAGAGGCAAGACAAACTAGAACATTCCTCTTCTCATTCCTTCAGAGGAACCGGAAACTTTTCTTCAGAAGGTATCAAAACAAAGTCTGCTTCAATTTCTCTGCTCTGGACAGTGGGAGCTACAGACTCCAAACCAGGCTGTTCTGAAACCCTAGGGACTTCAGGGTGATCCCCTCAGAAGGAGTCACCCCATGATTTAAAAGGTTCCTCTACTGTAATTCCAGCTTCATTGATTCCAAAGAGATTGGCCCTTTTCTTCCAAGAGAAGATATATTTTAATTTCTTATAGAGCATCCTTCCAAAAAGTTCCTCAACTGGAGCAGTTTACATGAGCTGCCAGTTTATA